CTTTTTGGCAGGGTGGTTTAATTATTGCTTTTGATTGCTGACTTACTTAAAAAAATATCTGTTTGGAAGTTTATGGCTCTTTTCTGAACCCTTTAGATTTTATCTTTTCCAATAAATGTCTCTTAAATCAGTTCAAATTGCCTAAGCAGCAGATTCTGTCCACCCCCTGTCATCATGTCTCCAACACTCTGCCTAGTAAATCTTCCCCGACCCTTGGGCTGATGTGTCAGAGAGAACAACCCATTCCATGTGTGATTTCTGCTATTCTTTGACTTTCTTATTTGTTTGTGTCTGCTTTACCATCTCTGAACCATTGTTTGCTGTTCTTATCAGTTTAAAAATATGTGGAAAGTGAGTGGTGTCAGTAGGAATGGTGGATGAAACACTTCAGAAAATTCTATCCCCATAAAAGCAATGAAAATACTGCCAACAGTTGTCAAAAATCAGCTTTTTAAGAACTTTAAATTAACCAAAGACTCACAACATTTGGGAGCATTTACTCAAGAAAAAAGACTAAATACATTAAGAACAGTGAGCTTTGTGTTATTTTAACTTATCCTGTTCCCATCCTGATCTTTAAATTCATATGGAAATTAAAAGGACACAGATAATGTAAACAGTCTTGAAAAAGACAATGATGTGGGAGAGCTCACATTTTCCAGTTTAAAAACTTACTAGAAAGCCATGGTAAGCGAGATGTGTGATACTGATGTAAAGACAGACCTGAAACTACAAAATAGAATTGAGAGTTCAAAAATAAACTCTTGTATCTATCCTCAGTTGATTTTAATCAAGGGTACCAAAAGAATTTAATGGACAAAAATTAACTCAAAATAGATCAAAGACCTAAATGTAAGAGCTAAAACTATAAAACTCAGAAGAAAGCATAGGCATGAACCATCATGACCTTAAGTTAGATAATGGCTTCTTGGCTATTATACCAATAGATGATTGGACTTCATCAAAATTAAAAACTTCTGTAATTTAGAGGACACACCATCAAGAAAGTGACAAGGCAACCAACATAATGGGAACAAAAATAATTGCAGATCGTGCTTCCCCTGATCTACCCGGTCGCCTCTCACAGAGGGAGGCCAGACTGCAGCTTAGCGGGTCTAAGGGGAGCAGGCCTAAGCCATCAGTAGGACATCCCCTGAGGGCTCCCAGACTGTGAGATGGGGCAGGCTGGGCTGAGGGACCCCCACCCCCCAGTGCATGAAACACACAAATGGTTATAGTGGAATCATTCATAATAGCCAAAAAGTGAAAACAACCCAAATGTCCATCAACTGATGAGTGGATAAATAAAAACAAAATCTGGCATATCCATAAAATGGAATATTATTTAGCCTCAAAAAAAAAGAATTAAATTCTGATACATGCTACAACAGGATGAAACTTGGAAGCATTGTGCTAAGTGAAAGAAGCCAGTCACAAAAGGGTACATCTATAAATATATATGTATGTTTAACGACCGAATGACTGGTTGACCAGTCGCTATGATGTGCCCTGACCACCAGGGGGCAGACGCTCAATGCAGGAGCTGCCTCTTGGTGGTCAGTGCACTCCCACAGCTGGAGCTCCTCTCAGCTCACTGATGGGCGCCAGATGCCGAGCTCACGGCTGATGAGCACCGCTGCTGCTGCGGCAGTGTGAGCCTCTCCCAATTGGGACTGACTGGGCACAAGCCCACAACAGGTGTAGTGGGGCCAGAATGAGTGGGAGCAGCAGGCAGGAGTGGCAGTTGGAATACCAGTTTCGGCTGATCCTCGCAGGCCACGCTGAGGGACCCTACTGGTGCACGAATCTGTGCACCAACCAGGTCTCTAGTTTTATATGATTCCATTCATATGAAATTTTCAGAATAGATAAATCCATATAGATAGAAAGTACATTCATGGTTTCCAGAGGCTAGAGGGAAGGAAAAATAAGGAATGACTAATAATGGATGTGGATTTCCTTTTGGGATGATGAAAGATTCTAGAAATAGGTAATGGTAATAGTTGCACAACTTTGTGACTGTGCTAGAAACCTGAGTTGTACTAAAAAGGTGAATTTTATTGTATGTAAATTATGTCCAAGATTAACTTCCAGATATCATTCTCATTAGAATGGAATAAATGAAATATTTCACATACCAAGAAAACCTCATTAACTCACTCAGTGGTAAAATGATTCTTTTAAAAAAAAATTTATCTTAATTGTTGAAAGTATTACAAATGACCCTTTTTTTTTTTTTTTACCCCCATTGGTCTCCTCCACCTCACCCCTGCTCCATCGCCCTTTCACCTTCACTACACTATTGTCTGTGTGCATGGGTTATGCATATATGCATATAAGTTCTTTGGTTAATCACTTGTCCCTCCCCACTCCTACTCCCCACACCCCCTTCCCTCTGAAATTTGTCAGTCTGTTCCATGCTTCTATGTCTCTGGATCTATTTTGCTCATCAGTTTATTTTGATCCCTGATTCCACATATGCATGAGAACATGTGATACTTTATTTCTCTAATTGAAATAGCTCCCCCAAAATGTTATTGATTTGTTCTAGAATAGCAATTTTATTAGTGACAGTCTAAGGTAAGGCACCATCCCTGGTATCGATATCTCTCATTCTTTCTTCATTTTCTAAAACTTCTTTAAAACATACCATGTTCCTTCGGGTTCAATTCAGCTCTAATATGACCACAAAATACACTCTGACACTGAAGCTACAAGCAAGGGTAACAAAGAGTTTCAACTCAACTGCCAACTCAGATTGATTAGTTGTGTTAGAGAGATCCTGAGGCTGTGTCCAGGCTAAGCAGAGAAGGAAATGTAGTGATTAATAAAATCTGTCTTGAGCTTGGCAGTAGCAGTAGCGCTGCACACCACTTGGGCTAGTCATTTTATCTAGGAAAAAGTGTTATACTGCTGGTAGATGCAAAATCAGTTGGGTAGATAACTCTTTGGATGGATCATAATGCAGCCAGTAGGCACATTCACACAGCATGGCCTAAAAATGAATTTGAGACCTGTAATTTACATGCAAAGTCCCAAAATTTGGAAATAGTCAACATTTATGGCTGAGATGTCAAGAGCACTCAATAAATAGCACTTATTTTCTTACTGTATAATATCAAGGTATTTTAAATAACACGTTTTATACAGTGTTCGCTCTCAGAGGTTCTTAACATGAAAGCATTGGGATCTCCCCTAATCCTCATCCCCACCCCACCCTACCCCACCACCAGACTGCTCAGAATCCCTTGTTTGGACGTAATAGGGAGTGGGAAAGGAGGATGGCACTTCTACATTCCCTCATGTTAAAATGAAGCAGTATTATTCAAAAAAGGATTGGCATCAACACCCCATAGCTAGTAAACATGTGTGAAGACATAGAACTGTACCTGGTTCCTAGTGATTGTTCACTGTATATAGGAGGTAATGGTGTTGGTGACGATTAGGGCAAAGGCCAAATTTCTCCACAGAGGGTGCCTGGGTTGGCATCTAGAAGTAGTCGCTGTTCGCACCCAATGGGGTGGTGGTTATGTTAAGACAACTGCCAGCTGGAGGTAGACCTTGATCTTGAAACCCTTCAGAGGCAAGTGAGGCTCCCTGAAGGCAATGCCCTCACAGTGCCCCAACTGTGAGGGTGGTCATTAGCTGAGGGGCTGGTGGCCTGTCGGTATTTGCCGCAGAGACAAGGATCCTGGCTGGACTTGGCATCTAGGGCAACAAGCATTGTAGGAAGGACTGAAGAACATCAAGCGAAGCAATGAGACATTTCAGGGCCTTTGTAATAAGAGCTCAGTGTTGTGAATCCCAAGGGGTGGAGTGGATGGTCACATGACAGCAGTTTAGATGCTGGCCACCGAATGTGGAGCCTCTGAGCAAGCTTGGGAGTCTGCAGGCCAGAAAGGCAGTGGGTCCTGAGACCCACAGGCAGATCAGACCACTGCTGTAGGAAGCTGGTGACCAGAGTTGGATTTGGAAGTTTCCAGTTAGGGTTCTTGGTTCCAATCCTTTTTCCCCCCATGGAAATGCTGTTTGATATCCTGGTGTGGTCAGTAGAGCACCACTTGTCAACATTAGGAATATAGGGGGAGGAGGGAAGTGAGATGGAGAGAGGAGAGAGGGAAAGGTGAAGGGGGAGGAACAGGAAGAGGAAAAGGAAAGGAGAAGACAGAGAGAAGAGGGGACAGGGAAAAAGGAAAAAGGAGAGAGTGAGGAAGGGGTAGAAGGGATGCAGGAGAAGGAAATAATGATTGCTAGTCCCAGAGTGCACGCTGCTTTCCTTGCCCTGTCCTACGTGTTTTGCATGCGCTTCTCATTTAGTTATCATAACTATGACATTGGGTAATGGAAGAGCCTAGAGACTCTTAAGGAGAGACTTATTTCTAATGAAAAATAGGTTACAATGAACTTTTTCTGCCCAGGCCCCAACATCTGAGGGAACCAAGTCAATTCAATCTACTAAAATGATGCACATTAAATGCAGTTGAATCATTAGGAATGAGGGGAAGCTATGGAAGAAGAAGGCTGAGTTTAAAATGGTCATGGGTATTCTCCTTACTCATGCTGTTCCTCCTGATTCTGAAGCCCCTTTGCCTGGGTTCTCAAACTCACATGCATATGGGGACCAGGGAGATAAATGAAGTGTGTGAAGTGAGCCTGGTATACGGTGATTACAGGAAAAAGACACTTGGCTTAAATGTCAGGAGGTAATAGGGAGTAGTCGGAATTATGACAAAATGGAGCCTATGCGCCACGCTCTGAAGAGGCAGCACCACTCAGCTCCAGCCTGTTGCTGTCACGTGCCATGTGTAAGTGGGCACAGTGTTGCTGGGCCTCCTAATTTTCACAAGAAGACAGAGATCTATTGACCAGGCAGCATTCAGGGGGCTAATGAATTGCACCTGTTGGCTGTATCTGTCCTCAGATAGACTGGTCTACAGTTGTGTCTTTTCCTGAGTGGCAACACAAGCTTGATCTCTTCCCTATGTTCCTTTCTCTTCCAGGCCATTACATTTATGTGGACACCTCCTTTGCCAAGCAGGGGGATAAAGCCCTGCTGCTAAGTTCTGACTTACAGGCTGAGGAATGGAGCTGCCTCCGATTGGTCTACCAGATAGCCACGTCTTCAGGGTCTCCATCAGATCCCAGCCAGCTGAACCTCTACGTGAGATTTGAAGATGAAAGCTTTGATCGATTGCTTTGGTCAGCTAATGAACCTTCGGACAGCTGGCTCATCGCCAGCCTGGATTTGCAAAACACTTCCAAGAAATTCAAGGTAAGTGGAATTGAGGAGGAAGGTGCAGGGCTTCTCTGTGGCTTCGTGCTATTCTGAGGTCTTCTGAAACTGCTGTCATTGAACTTAGTTTTCTTCTGTGTTAGTATGTGATGTTTTGTAGAAGATGCATCAGAGAAGAATGGTAGAAATGGAAATTAATATCTTGTTTATTCCTTAAAGGAGCTTTCTTTTCTGTTTAAATGGGACTTCAGCACAAATCTAAATGGAGCTTAAACCAAGTTCTTCAATGGAAATTTATCTTCTAATGGGCTTTAAGAGCACATTCTCATTTCTTATCATTTTGTTTCATTCTACTAAGTGGAGTGTGGTATATGTTTACGTTTTTTTCCTAATGCTTTGTTTGCTATAAATTTTCAACAAAGCATTAACCATCATAAAAGGAAAACTGAAAATACTTTGAAAGAGGAAAACTACTTAAAGGACATGCTCTGATTCCTTTTTTAAAATGGAAGTTGTTCCATCAGAACAACTTGGAAAAGGACAGTGGAAAATGTAAGATTGAATTGGATATGCATTGAAGTAGGGAAGGAGGATGGGATCTTGATTCACTTGGCCATAAAGTGTTCTATTTAGTGAGAATATGTCATGGAGGATGCAAAGGAGGCTTCATGAAAATGCCCTCCATTTCTAATCCCCTTTTCAATGTCCTATCCCTTCCACTTCTTCAAAGAGGTTTGAAATACTATACTCTCCTCTACCCTCTGTCTCCTGGTGCCTCTCCATCAGGCAGTAGGGGGGTCGAGGGAAGGAGTATTGAGGGTCTCAGTTCCCTATTTCACAATATCCTCCTAACAGTATATCAGACCCTAAATCTACCAACATAGTTGCAAAATATTGGGCTAAAATCACCTAAGGCAAAGCAAATACTTTCAGAAATAGGACCAAATGTGAACCTATAACAGTGCTTAAAATCAGCCTCATAAATTGTCATGCTTCTATCTGTTCTTTGTGTGAAATTTCCAAGTTTTTCAGCAATAGAGAAACGATAAGTTCATTGATTTGAGCCTCCTCCATCTCATGCAGAGATCTCCCATCACTAAGCAGATTATGCTTCCTACCTTCTTCTCCAGGGTCTTTTTTCCTCTGTAGACTCTACCCTCTGTTCCTGGTCATTCTCAGAATGGAGTTTCCTAGAGACATAAGCCCTCCTTTCCATCCACAGCCAGTTGGTGTAACCGCAAGCACTGGCTTAGGATAACAGTGGAAGAGAGCTGACTCTGAGATTTTATTGGACATCTTGCTCCCCTCAAAGTTCTGAGTATATATGTACACACAGAGAGAGAGAGAGAGAGAGAGAGAGAGAGTTTTAATAAAGTCCATCATGAAATTGGCATCCAATATCAATTAGCTGAGACAAGCAATCTCATTTTGCCTTGAATTGCTGAAAGCTGTTTGAAAGCTTTCAGCAAATAGTTGAAATACTGAACCAAGAGAACATGCCATTTTGAAGTCTAACTCCCTTTCCCCCCCGTATGTTGTGCAGGTTTTAATAGAAGGTGTGCTGGGCCTGGGAAACACAGCCAGCATTGCACTCTTTGAAATCAAGATGACAACCGGCTACTGTATTGGTAAGTGGGTTTCATTTTCATTGTATCAGAACGTGGATCTTTTCTAAAATCCCCTCTTGCCAGAGGGAATTGGATCCATCCTAAAGGCACTGAATTGTGCATAGTAGTTAAAATTCTTTGCTAGTTCACTAGAATGGTCTATTTTGTTTCTCTGTCTTTAGCATCGGAAGGCTCATTAGAGTTTGCCTGGACTGGCTGGATTAATGAAAGACAAGTAGATGCAGCAAATGTAACCTGAGTTGCTGCCTTAACCTCAACATATTCTAATGAAAATAATTGCCGGTTTGCTGCGAACTCAGCTTTTGTTGCATTTGCCGGAAAAGCAGGCATCGTATTACCTCCTTTCCTCACTTTGCTCTCCAGCACCCCATTGACTGTCTTTATAATCACAATTTTCCCTTTGATGCCACTTGAGCTGGGTTGGCTGGATGCCTCTTACGTGTCAGTTCTGAGAAGGTGTAAAGAGAAGACATAGTCCATGTCCTGTGGTCGCCCACCTTCTACTTGCCTGCCCCTGAAGCTATTTCTACATTCGATAAATATGGCCGGAGAAAAGCAAGCTATGCAGCAGAGGTGCAGGGGGAGGAGAGGAAATCTGAGAGGACTGAATTCAGTAGAGATGCATTTGCGCTGGGGTTTCAAGAAGAAGTGGAACTTAGTCGAGTAAAGGTGCTGGATAGGAAGACTCCAATAGAAGAAAGCCGAGGGCCTGCTCAGGCAAAGGCAGGAAACAGAGCAGGGCATTTGAAGCGAGAACCAGGCCTGCTAAGGGAGTTTGTTACGGAAGAATCTGGATCCAGGCTGTGGAGCTTGGATTCATGAATTACGTGGTTGGGAGGTGCTGAATCTCAGTCTGCAGGGAGGAGTCTCCAACTGTGGTTTTCAGATGATGACTCTGGCCGCCACATGGAAAATTGAGTTAGAAGCAAGGAAAATACAAAAGAGGTAGGAAAACCCCTAAAAGTGATTGTGACATTACAGGGGGAGGCATAATGAGGGTATCAAATTGGGGTTGACAGTGGAATAGGAAAACTGGTAGATTTGAGCGATTTTTCAGCACTGACAATACTTGGAGGCTGATTATCTGTGGAGAGGAAGAGAAAGGAAACTCAAAGCCCATTATGAACACAAAAGAGCCTTTGCTAATTCTCTGAATCTTACTTCTCTTTTGACTTTCCAATGATGACGTTAATGCAAGTAAAGAAAACAGACTGAGAATGTGACCATTTTCTGAAGAAAGTGCGTTAGACCCAAGCTCCCTTCCTTGGACCTCCCTGTAGCTCTCATCTGGTGGCTGCATGGGCCTTAGACAGCCAGCTGGCTCCTCAGACACTCCTGGTGGAGCACCGCCTGCTGGCTCAGTCAATGCACTGAGCCCCATAGCCTCTGTTTTATCATCTGTAAAATGGGGATAAAATGCTTCTCTCAGGGTTATTGTGGGGACTAATGAGATCATGGATATGAAGGTGATTTGTGTTGGTGCTGGACACTCAAAAAATGTTCATTTGTGTTCTTCAAGTCACTTGATGGCCTGTACTTTGTTTAAAACACAAAAGGAGAGCCAATACTTTGATCTTGTTAAACTTATGCACACACTCTCACCTCTCCTTTCTTTCTGTGCCTCTCTTTGCTTCTCACAGTTCCTCATCTGGAAAATGAGGTTAATAATAGTGTCTACCTCATGGGGTTGTTTTGAGGATTCAATAAGTCAACTCATATAAAGTACTCAGAAAAATGCCTAGCACATTGAGGAATATTTTGCTTTTTATTTTACTCTGTGTCAGTCTTTGGCACTGAATGTTGAGTGTTGGTTAGCAGATGCTGCAGTGGAAACGTTGCTAATGAAAATCTTAAATTTTTTCAGTGCCTTCTTATGTAAAAACACATTGATAACTATATCAGTCAAGGTCATGGCAGGAAAGTGGAAACAGACAGTATATTCAACCTGAGTAATTTGAGAAAAGGTCAGCAAGGAACTACAGAAGTGTGAGTGGGTAAAGGAAACGGGCGAGGGAGGGTGCGGTAATCCAAGACGAATAACAATGATGACTCATGAGCTGTTACCAGCTTTAGATCTGAAGGGGTAGCAGAACTGGAGACAGTAGCTCTGTGGTGAGACCTACTTGAGAAGAGCAGAGGACACAGCCAACCCATGGAGGCCTGGCAGGCAAGGAGGGCACTGGAGGAATAAACAGTCCCAACCTCATTCTCCTCCTACCTTCCCGTGGTTGAATCCAACAGGAAGCCAGAAAGCAGGGGAGCCCATGGATAAGTCAACCTCTGGAGGCCAGAATGGAGTGCAAAAAAGGGTGTGGACCTGAAGGTGACCAGCACAATCACACTTCATATTTTTAATTGATGATTAGTGGGGTCAATAGGAGCACTGGCTTGTGAGTTTCTTGTTCCTACTAAAGGAGTCTGTTGACTGGCAACAGTGCAAACATGTCAATGCCACTAAAAGCGGGGAGAGGGTCTCTTTATCTTGTGTCTCTTCTCTACTCAGTAGCTTTAGAAGGACACAGAGCCTAGGATATCCCTGCCCTGCCTATTTCATCTAACTAGTTCTTGTTTACTAAAAAAAGCAGAGGACTTTAGCATTAGGAAAGATACCCCTTAGCTCTGGGTATTTTGTCCACCATCATGAGAGAAGTAAATAGAAAACTGGGCTACCAGGTGCAAGAAAAAATAGACAATAAAATTTCTGGAGCCAAGAGCATAGCCCTATAGTGCTTTGAAACAGGATGGCTGATATAAATGTCTGGCTTGTACCAGGCCCCTGTCATGAGCATGGCATTGTGCTGGGAGCTGTCCCACTTACAACAGCCCAATAAGGTGGGAACATTGCTCCCCTTTCACATAAGAAGAAACATTGGCTAAGGGGGTAGTGAGTCACTCTGCATGCAAGAAGGTTACTAAGTGGAAGAACCACAGTCCAAAGGGGCAGTGATGAATGGCAGTCTCAGTTCATTATAGGATCTCTCTCTTCTCACTGGTATTGACCAGGGATCCTGATACATTCCAGTAGACAAAGGGAGTGAGAAACATACTTTGATATCTAAGAGAAAACTTTGCAGTACATCTCCATGAGGTATGTTTTTATTTCTCTACTGCCAGAATGTGATTTTGAAGAAAATCATCTCTGTGGCTTTGTGAACCGCTGGAACCCCAACGTGAACTGGTTTGTTGGAGGAGGCACTAGCCGGAATTCCCACTCCGTTCTTCCCCAGGATCACACATTCAAGAATGAACTGGGTGAGCTGGGAACATGAACTCCTTTCCCCATGATAACTTTCTGCCATCTCTTCCCACCCCCTGCATTGACCTAACTGTGGCTCTGTCAACAGAGAAGAGAGGAGAGAGGAAGGTGAGTAGGGTCCCCAAAACCTGGTAGAAGAGTGGGGAAGCACAAGCTGTATGATGAAGACAAACTGCAGACATGAGAGCTGTGGCTAAGAGGAGGGCCACCTAGGTAAAGGTTTTTCTTCACTTATGACCTGGTCTTGCTGTTTTCACATTTCCGTATGCATTATGCTTTACGTTCTTAACTATTTGTTGTTCAGAACTTCTTATTTCTAAAGACCAGGTTGGAATAATCTTAGGTAACTTTTCACTAAAAATAGATCAAATAATGGAAGCAAGTCCTTAAGAACATGTCCAGTGGCAGTGAGATGAGCTGAGACAATGATTAATCCTGAATGTGGTGTGCAGCAGGGCCCCCTAGTGGCCACATGGACTGGTTCTCTGCAGGGAAAATTTGACCTTGGAAAAGCTTCCACTGAAGGGAGTCAAGGTCAAGGTAGAACAATAGTAGAACAACAACACAAAAAATGCCCCAGAAACTATTTATTTAGCTATATCTAGGATCACTTACATAAGGAGTTAAGATTAGAAAGAGACAAAGTATTTCACTTCCTTCTTTTAAAAGTAAGGCAGGTTTAGCACTTTTGGAAATGACAAAAGATTGGGGTTTCCATGTGTATGTGTAAGTTGGCCCTAAAGATCCACAGCCCATCTCCACTATGGCCATTGTAGGAACCACACTATAAATGAGTGTTATGTGTAGAGTGAATGATAACTAGTTGGGAAACATTAATCCCTGAATCTGCATGAGTATTTTAAAAGACAGTTGAACTCAAAACAGTAAAATGCCACCTCCTCTTGACATCTTTGTTTAAATGAATAAAGCAACTAGCAATGTCTTGGAGTTTCAGAAAGAAACTTTTTCTTATTTTATGGAAGTATGCTCATTTTGAGGTTGTTTTCTGCCATATTTAGACTCTAGTACAAGGAATACAGAGAGTCTTGAAGGACTGATGTTTTAAAATTGCAATAATTCTTGGTGTCCTTATCTCAATGATATGTGGCCAGAAAAGTGTGAAAGGCTGCCTTGAATTTGGGGTTCAGGGAAGGCTTTCTAGAGGAAGTGGTTTCAGAACTAGAATTTGCCAGATGAATAGGAGAAGATAAGTGCAACATATGCAAAGGTGTGTAGGTGTGAGAGTAGATGTTGTATTAGATGGTCAGAGAGTATTTGAGAATGCTGGGTGTATGATGATGGCACAGTAGTCCCTAGATCCAAGATTATGTTCCTGCTAATGATGAGTAAGACACCTGGATACCTACATACCACTTACTTCTTCCAGCTCTTTTATGCTATTTCACTTCAGTTTCTCTTCAGCTTTTGGACTAATGTCTTGCCCAAAACATTAGCCAAACAACCCTCTCATTCCCACCCAATGCCCACCCATATGTGTGCACACACACGCACACTCTCTCATACTCATTCACACTCCTTGCACCTGGACTCCTAGGTAAGACTTTCCCCTATATGTGATGGGGCTAAAAAAGATGAGTTCTACAGATTTTTAAATATTTTATTTGAAAACCACTCTGCCCCTGTGACTCAAAGGTTTGGGCACAATCACTCTTGAAAACAAAAAGCCCTCCAGTGCTTTGTATGAGAGAGAGGTTGCCTTCCGTATTACATTTACCTTCTACTGGGTCTATTGATTTTCCCTGATCTCTATCTATTTGGGTGGCAAAGTAAAGATTAAATGGCTCAGATCTGCCTGCGGCAGCAGATTTTGCTTTAGATAAATTTATCTCCTGTTCATTTGTGTACTTGAAGCAGTTTTTACCTTTGCTTTCAGGTACAAACTGGAGAGGCAAACCGCAAGGGGCCAGGGAAGCTGTGTGCTGGCTGGCTCTGAAACTTTTAGCGTTTCAGAGGGGGTGAAGGACATCTTCCCAGGTGGATTCTGACCTTTATGTTGTAGAAAAGGAAACAGCGAATGTAATATCTGAAAAATATGATGTGGATATGAATTTTCCTTTATTCGGCTGTTGTTTATAACAGTGAGTCAGATTTTTCAAATAAGCACTATCTCTCCAAATTCTTGTCTAGTGATGAAAATGGCTGAAGTGCGCCGTACGAATTGTGGTGGGACATCTTTGGAATACTGGAGTCGATGGAACACTGTCAGCTTTTCCTTAATCAATTCTGATTCATCACCTATGGATTTTTTTCTTTTTGAATATTTTATGCAGTGAAATAAAATCTTTCAGGAGGGAACCTACTGACAGCTCAGATCATTACTGTTTTCCACCTGCCTTGGCAAAAAAGAAGATAATTGCTGGAAAAATAATGAGGGAAATCCATTTCTTTGCTGAGATTTGTTTAAATCCAATCTGCTTAGGGTGCCACTTTAGAAGGAGCTGACCGAGGTTTCAAAACCTAAAATAAGGTCAGAATTATTGTGTTCCATCCTTGACCCTGAGATGGATGGATCATCCTTCCATAACTCATGACATTCTTTTCTCATTTCAGTTCAGATTGAGCTCAAGCGCCATCTCAACAGCACCTATGCATTCACCCTCTGTATTGATCTGTCCGGTTCATTGCCTAGCACTCAGTAGGGAGGCAGCCTTGTTAATTTTCTTCCCCTTGCCTTTGTGCAAGCTCTGCTAGATCTCCTTTCCCTGTCCTTAGATGACTTACCATTTCCGGTATTAGCAGCTTCCTCTTAAATAATGAAATTCAGTCAAATCAGAATTCGAAAATCTCACCCAAGTGAAATCTTCCCCCAGCCAGAGCACGATCGAGCAGCAGGGAGAGCATTTGTGCTTTATTTCTTCTTACTTCTCCCCTTTGCCCTTCCCCCATTGGCTCTGCTGCTCCTGGCTTCTCCAGGTTGGGGGCGGCATGATAAGGGTGGGGCAGAAAGGGAAGGGAAGCAGACTAAAAGTTTTATGTGATCAGAGCTGTTTAATCTGGACTTGTGCTCTTTATCCTGCAGGAAGCCAAATGCGCAAGGTGATGCACTCCCTAGGAACCCCCTTTAGCATCTATCCGTAACGGTATGCCCAGCCAGCCCCTTCTGCTGGAGAGGCAAACCGCACACATACCATCCCTTTGAGAAGAGCCCTTTAAGGCCCTCTAGCCCAGCTACCACCTGAGTTGCCCACTTAAGCTAAGGAAAAACTTAAATCTTTGCCCCATCAAACTCCAGAGGTACAGCCACTGGCAACAAAATGCTTTCTGTCCTCTCTGCCACCACAGGTCCCTCCTACAGCCTTTAGATCTATAGAGTCAAGAGTCAGACACCAGTCTCTGTACCCCACAAACTCCAGTTACCACTCATCAAGTTCCCCCAGTAACTCTGGCCACCTCCTCTCATGGCCCAAAGAACTTGGAATTGCTGCAAGTGTGGGTGGGGATGAGGTTACATGGAGTTTCCTTTCCTCTTCCATCCTCTCTGCAAGTGGCTCCCTTAAGTCTCCTCCCTTGGCAAGAATGGGGAAGCATTTCCTCCCCTTCCCTTGAGGGCCGGGGGGTGGGGGGGCGTGGACATGGGGAGACACATGCAGGTCAGCTCCATGACAACTCTCTTCAAAGAAACTCTGTCTCCTGTCTCTCTGATCCCTCTCTGGCCTTGTCACATACATACAGGCTGGGTGGAGAGGTAAGCTACATCTGGTGGAGCTGGCTTAGCTGCCAGGTCTGCCACAATGGAGTGCATTATACACTGATGGTCTGTACTGCTCTTTCGAAAATAGACCTACTTATCACCCATTTATTTGACATTGAGTCTTAGCAGAGACAAGAAGCTCCACTTCACATTCATTTACATTTATGACATCCCTGCAAACTGTTGTGGCCTATAGGATCCCCAATGATTGGATGATTATAGGAATCTGACTCTATTATAGTAAAATTCACCCAAACCCACAGAACTAAAGATTCATGAAGGAAACTGTCGGGTTCATAGACTAGGAGAGCAGGCATGATGACTGGCTGTCTTTGGGGGCTGTCTCCTCACAATGCCAGCAGACCAGAGGGTGTTTCCAGCTGGCACACGATTCTGCAGACCAGACTTTCTCCTCACCCAGGAGACAGCTTGTCCAGACAACCATGACACGGACGCAGGCGTCACAACTAGAGCACAACTGTGGCCAGCGGGGCGCAATCACAGCTGAGTCAGAGGACGCCTTTGGCCTGGCAGCCAGGCCAGGGGCAATCTTTGTGGAATGCTGGTTAGCCAGACTGTTTGAAAATAAAAGTTCAGGGACTTCCCTCAGAGCTCTTCTCCTGATTCAAGGGGAAATGGTGAACTAGCAGGGCCCATGGATTCCACATGAAAAGTTGAGCTAATCCAGGGGCTGCTCAAGAAAGGGAGAAGTTTCCCTTCAGAGGCAAGCGCACATGCGCGGTCACTACAGACATGGTCCCTGGGGACCTCGGCTTTGGCTGGCACCATTAAGAGCTTTTATCTTTCAACAGAACTAGAAATTGTTGGGGTTTCCCCCCAGCCCCCTTGAAAGTGCAGGCTTTTAGTGTATAATCCAGAATGAGGGGGAAATAGACGGGCTCCCAATCTGAGCATGGCAAAGCAACTCAGACCTCAGACCTTAGAGGAGTGGAAACAAACTTCTCACTTTTTAAACTTATGGGGCAACCCTTGTTCCCTTCATAGACTCTTTCATTTCCAGTTTAAAATGTAATACAGGGGTGGGCAACCTTTTTGTGAGTGCGTGCCAAAACCAGCAAAATTTCTGACTCAAAATTCTTCTGTGTGCCAACCCTAATTTTTTGAGAACATGTTACATCTACTTGATATCTCTTAAGGTGTACGTATGTGAAGAACCTTGAAGAAATAATAAAATTCATTCGAGCGACAAAAACACAGTATATGATGATGAAAAATACAACCAAAACACTGGTCGGATCTAGGAAGGCAGGAAGAGTTAAGGCAGAGGCATAGAAATTGCTCTTACCCTCTCTTGTCAATCCATATCTATGGTCTTTAAGATAACTTGTTATGTAAAATTATTTATCTAAGATGCACCTACACTGAATTTATCTGAAAAATAAAAAAGTCGATATTAAGAAAAAAATTGTAAATGGAAGATTATAAGAGAGGGTTTCGCGTGTCAGCAAAAGTGGCACGCGTGTCAAGGGTTGCCCAACCCAGATGTAATACTTACAAGTCTTTGTGGTCTACAGGATTCCCAATGATTAGGTTGATTATAGGATCCTGTCCACATAGGGTCCATCTATACCTAGTTTCATCCTATTCAAATTTAAAGGATCTGGTCAAACTTGCCTCTCGCAGAAATTTTGGAGGTTCTAGAACCAGATAAGAGGGTTGGCCTCATTGAACTGGGCAGGAAAATTCTCATAATACCAGACACTAGACATAATTTCCTAAGAACTCCAGTACCTTCTTCATTCCCCCTTGGGAAAGTACACAGAATGGTGCCTGCACCCACCCAGCCAATTGCTCAGAGCAGATTGTACCCAACAATGACACACACGCAGCCTGGGCAGACACCTGGGGATTTCTGAAACATCCCCACCCCTTCAACTGAGATGATAAACTTATGATGAGCTACCTTTTGTTTTTCAGTGAAAAACTTAGTCTTACTCAGATGCTCAGTAAATAGTACCCAATATTGGCAGCAAATGAATGATGTGGTCTAGTCTAGTGGTTCCATATGAGACTTGTCAGCAGTCCTGTTCTTATTCCCAGAAGCCTCTCTGACTCACTTTGGGCAGGTCACATTGTGCTTGCTGGATGTTTTTTTGGATCAGAAATGTGACTGTGGCTCAGTTGGCGAGGGACTTTAACTGCAAATTCAGGGATTAAAATATTATTCACTCAGCAGGTGAATAACTAGCCTCTGAAGAAGGTGGTCAGGAAGATAATTCATAATGGGACAGGGTCTGAGACATTTCTCTAAGCACAGTTATCATGCACTCTGGGAGCAGAATGAATAATTTCAAGTGGATATGTGAGGTCTCCCCCAGATTCACTGAGAGTCTCTGAGAGTCTTTGGAGGTGTTCCTCAGCCTGGGTAGAATGGTCCTCCAAGAAGCAGACACCAAGATGGGATCAGGTGTGAAAGAGACTAATTGGGGGAAATGACTATGAAGGATAAAGGAGGAGAGAACTGGAGTAGCTGGGCCAGGTCAATATATCCATTAGGCATAGTAGTCACAGCGCCTAGGAGCCATGACATTTTTCAGGATCTATGAGAATGTTTATATTTTATTTATTTTAAAATAAAAAGAAAAAAATAAATGCAAAAATAAATATAATAAGCCCTGCCTGGATTATATTAATCTTTATCCAGTGCAGTCATACAACATAATGTTAGTATGTTTTATGGAGAAAGAGGCCCATGGCGGTGAGAGTCATAACGCAGCCTTGGGAGAGCTTCGGCACAGGCGGGAAGGCCGCCGCCTGTGAAAGAGGGGCCAGGCCGGTGGGGAGGTGTTGAAGAGCCCGTGTCACACAGACTGGCCCTGCTCTGGTGCCCCTGCTATGCTTGGTCCCTGGCTGAGAACAGCCCAGGGTGGTGTGGCCATCGTAGAGCCACGCATGAGATAGCTGGAGGCTGTCAGTCAGTTGTGGCCCATGAGGCAAATTCACTTGAAGGAAATGTGAGCAGCCCACCTCCATGGTGGCTCTTCTACCCAGTTTCCCCAGGGGCATGTCTTGGAAAGAGATTGTTTCATTGGTAAGACATATTATTAGGAAGTGCATTAAAAACTTCCTCTCTGAAAACAAACAAACAAAAAACAAACTTCGTCTCTGGAGAACTGGTAGTTGTCCAAGGGAAGGGGTTTGGGGGACTAAGTAAAGATGAGAGGGGGGTTGGAGGGATGGACAAAGAAGGTGAAGGAATTAGTAAGCACCAATTGTAATTACAGAATAGTCACAGGGATATAAAATACAGCATAGGGAATATAGTCAATAATATTGTAGTAACTATGCATGGTGTCTTCTTCCCTGACCCAGTCTACTTCAGTCATGCACCTGACCTAGCTGGCTCCTCTGAGCAGCAGAGTTTGTGATCTCCATGTATTCACAGTTGCATGGCTTGGCAAGATGACTTAAGAAATTATCTTTAAACAAGAAAGGTTATTCTGGGATTGGACAATTTGCTACCAGGAAAAAGAAAGCTTTGATTTGTCCATCTTTCTCCTCTTCCTTGTTGGCATGAGGACCTTCCTGAGACCATATTTATGCTTTGAATAGCCATCGGTTGAGGGCCTACCACATACTGGGCAGTGTGCTAGATCAAAGTAAGTACCCAGTGTGTGATTGCATATATTCTTCCTAATAGCCTTACCACTATTTTGCCAAGGATAAAAGGAATCCTTATAAATCCTTTTAGGCATAATGTAATAAAGACTAAGATATTATTAGGCTGTAGTTGTTCTGAGCTTGTAAATAGGAGAGCCATTCTATGGAAGCTGCATTGCATAGCATTCCTTTGTCATTGCAGCTTAAATAAATGCAGACAGAATTGCTAATAACAATAACTCCTCTTTACGTAAAACAGACCATGGGGAAAGCATGGTGCTAGAATCATTAGTGACATTGTTTTCTTTCATTATAATTATGTTAGGCAATTACCATGTGCCAGGCACATGCCAAGGACATCGCATACATAATCTCATTTCATACTCATACCAACCCAATGAGAGAAGTATTTGATTCTCATTCTAGAGATTAGGGAATTGAAGCCCAGAGAGATTCAGTAACTTCCTTGAGGTCACAGGGCTAGTAAGAGACAGAGCAGGATTCAAACTTAGTTCTTTCAATGCCAAATCCAGGCTCTCCCCATTCTGCCTCATTGTTTCTCAATTTCACCAAAATGCCTCCCATGGAGGTCAGCCTCTGAGTCCAGAGCCCACCAAGGTCTTCCTAAGTGTGCATCACAAGTTCACCTTCCAAATCCTAATCCTATCCGCAGTGTCGATTGACCTACATGTTCTATTAAAAAGGTACAACTTGTTATCCAGTATGAATTCTAAATCTTAGTTTCTCAAAGAATATGCAGTGACATTTGTATATATTGTAAAGACAAATAGGAGAGCCCCTCTATGCCTTTTTGGAAACAGATGGTACACTTGGCATGTTCTTAGAATCCTTATAACTCAAAGAAGGCTTGCGGGGGGGCAGGGGAGGTGGTTCCCTGGGGTAATGTTCTGTTTCCTTTCCACAGCTGTGTTCAGCTTGGGAAAACTCAAGCACTTTACAGATGATATATCTACCTTTCTATATGGATGTTTACTCAGTCAAACGTAAGGAATAGAAAAAGAATGGTTCTTGTATTTAGCAGAGCACAGTGAACTCCATGTATTTATCTCCCAGGTGCACCCTTCATCAACCCACGGCCAAACTTCTTTCATCTGTAACTCATTCACTTCCTCTCCATCACTCCCACTGGATGATTCCGAGTGAATCCCAGAAGAACACCATTTCATCTGAAAATCCCAGCCCGTCTGATGCTGTGTTTTCTCTTCTCTGTGGTCTCCAGGCCATTACATGTACGTGGACTCGGTTTACATCAAGCACTTCCAGGAGGTGGCACAGCTCATCTCCCCCGTGACCACAGCCCCCATGTCTGGCTGCCTGTCGTTTTATTACCAACTCCAGCAGGGGAATGACAATGTCTTCTCCCTGTATTCTCGGGATGTGACCGGCCTTTATGAGGAGATCTGGAAAACCAACAGCCCAGGGAATCCTGCCTGGAACCTCGCTGAAGTGGAGTTCAGTGCCCCGTACCCCATGGAGGTAGGTGTTCCCATGGGCCCTGACCCGGCCACAACGCAGGGTGCTGCCCACACAGAGATGGAGGTATGGAGGTGCTACAGTCTCACACTCATTCTTCTCCGCTGTATCTCAATCTGTTCTCTCTCTTCCCTTCCTCGGCCCTCTCCACTTCTCTCCCTTCTTTGTATTCCCTTCTGCCTTCCTCCTTTATCGCCTTCATTTTCTAACACGACTATTTTTTCTAAGGATGGATATGGAAAAGTCTGTCACCAACTAGATTTGGGGGGCCCACCCTCCTTTGAACCTTGCACCGTAGAAGCTCAAAAAAGATCAATGCCTTCTAAGTGGAAGTCACTTTTGAACTTTCATTCCTGCGAGCAGTTATAAGGAGTATTATAAGGAAGGTTATTTCTATTCCCTTATTTGAAGGAATAGTCTTCCTAGAAAAATAATACTTTTCTTCTTTTCTCTTTTATGGTATAAATAATGTCATAAAAATCAGAACTAAAGTTATGCCTGTGGTCTGAATTTGAAACAATGGTCCTTTGGTTTTAAAACTTTTATAGTTACATGAGTGATGAATGTCTAATGCAGAAGAATTAATCAATTCAGGAAAGCAAAACAAACTAAAATAGCCAGGGCCAACCTGGCAAAGATGAGAACAATGAACATTTTGATGTTTTTCCTTAAAATACCTTTTTTTCTAATCATATAGATTAATGCATATGTATAGTCTAGTACTTACAACAATCCAATGAAGTAGATAAATATCCCCATAACGCCAGTGAGGAAGAGAAATGGAGAGTCTGAGGAGTGTGCTGTTTCTCATCTAGGTCACACAGCTGGTGAGTGCAGGGCACGTAGAAAAGTCCCTGAGCTGAAATCTGACCGGAAGCTGAAGGAGAGGCCCACTCTGTCTGAGGACCCCTAGGACCTCTCGAATCAGTGGGGCACAGTGGGGTGCAGATTTGGAGCTATAGCAGAGTCTTAGTTACCACGGGTTATCATTGTCCCTGCTTTTCACTTTGTGCTTTTTACAGTCTCTTCCCTGTTCCCCAGAAAGTGCAAGAGGAGGGGATTAACCTCTGGGTGCTTTTGGGTGGTGCCATCTGCTCGCCTGACGTGGAGCTTCAGAGAGGGTTGGGGTTGGGTCTTGGTTTCTGTCATGTCCTGTCTACTGATGGCCTGCCACTCCCCGACCCTCTGAGGACCCCTTTTCCCCCCAATACAGCCCAGAAAGAGCACAGTGCTCCTCCCAAAGGCTGACCAGGCCTCGGTTTGCTCTCACAGCTCAGTGGGAAATGTTCTGTGAGCTTGGGTTACATGGAGAAAGAGAAATGCACATTACTGCTTCAGAAATAGTTTTTCCTTCTTTCAAAGTCAAATGAGTCTCTCTCTCTCTCTCTCTCTCACACACACACACACACACACACACACACAGCATTTTCCTTGTGAACTCTTTAGCTTCAACCATAAACTCCTTAGGCAACATTTGTTGGATGAGACGTCAATTTTTTAAAAACTCAATGCTGGGCATTACTGAACTTCACTATATATCCTTTTGATTCACACGTGTGGCATTTGCTCTAGTAGTCTGAACTCATTATGCTTGCATTATTTGCTCTCAGTAATTGCCAGGAAAAGAAACGTATCCTGCAGAAAACAGTGAATTTAATGTCACCGTATTCTCTGATGAATTTTAAAGAGGCAAACAAGCATTTGAGACGCTCTTTCTGAGCAAGAGAGTGGCACATGAGCTGTGATGGGCATATGAGCTTATTCTGATCTGAAATAATCATTCTCATTTGGCTGCTCTGTAAGATAAGGTCTGCCATTCACGTCCTTTATCGGCTTTCATGGACCAGTGCTAAGTGTGCAAACTTCATCTGCCCCTTCTCATTTGCCCACATCTGTTCCCTTTGTCCTCAGCGCTTCTTGCCTTGCCAGAGATAAACTTCCAGGCCCCTCATGGATTTTGCTGAGTCCAGGTCCCAGGCCTCTGCAGGACCACTGTTGTTAAGCTAAAAGGGACCTTAGAAACCATCTTGTCCAAACTCTTTTTTTTTTTTCTTTTCAAAAATGGAGAAACTGAGACCCAGAGGAGAGAAGGGGCCTGCGCAAGCCAATTAGTGGCTAGCTGGGCTCAGGGTCAAACCAAGAAAAAGGCATGAGTTTAATTCAGAGCTCATGATGCACCTGACTGCATGCTCTGATCTTTATGTACATCTTCTCATTGAATCTCAACAGTCCTACAAGGTTGGTGTTATTATGCTTATTTTATAAATAAGAAAAGCGAGGCCCTGAGAGGTTTAGCAATGTACCCAAGGCCACCGAGCTTGTAACCAATGGAAATGGGATTTGAACTCTGGTCTGTCTGCCTCCAAGACACTATCCTGTTCAGAAGAGGCTGAAACTAGAAGCCTGTGGGTCAAATCTAAGTCCACAATGATTTTCCTAGCTGCTGTAGAGGTGTGTTTGTTTGTTTGTTTTTTGCTTTGTTTATTTTTTGTTTTAATTTTTAAATTAATTACAAACATTAAAAAATATCCAAAGATTTCAAGTAAAAACCTAGAGATCTGGGTCCTCTTGACAATTTGGTAGATCCAGACATATTAGGCCTGAATTCCCACGTGACAGCAACTGACAAAGTAGTAGCCAAACCCTTTTCACCACGGTCTGCACCCTTTCTTACTCCATCACCCCAAGCCCAGGTCCATGACCTGCCTGGTTTTTGTAGGCATTTGAGTTTCATCTCATACTCAACACTGTTATCAATTCACAAGAGTAGATTCACACTTGGGTGGTTTTCCCAATACAGGCGAATGCTGTGCCCAGCACACCTGATCCCCCTGGTCACAGGTAGAAGGAGGTTGATTGAACTCAGAGTTGGTGTCAAAGAGAAGAGCAAAATTAAAGGGGATAATGCATTAACCCCATGTTCTTTCTAGCCATTCAGACATTCCTGGAATTCTAACATCTAGTATGGAATTTCTGGGCCTTATCATGTCTTACGTATCAGGAGAATTTACTGCATCATCTTTGTCCAGGACCCTCACACAGAATTTCATGTATGAAAAAGGCAGAGGCCTTAGAGGGGCTTAGTGCTCTGTGAAGTGCAGGGAGGGACCTAACCTGCTTTCTGCAAATAGCCTGTTGTGTCTCTAGTTGAAGTTCATAATGCAAACTGTCACTTCTGTAATTCTGTAATTACAGAATTCTGTAATTCTTTGGGAAAGTGACATCGGTTCTTTAGCTGACGCTCAGGGAAGGGGCAAAGTTCAATAAAATTCAATGTGGGGCTTGCTCAGGGAAGGGGCAAAGTTCAATAAAATTCAACGTGGGGCTTAGTATTTACTCTTCTTAAAAGAGACTGTGGGTTGAAGAGGGAGCTGCCCAAACTCCTCTATTTAGGGACATAAGTACCTATAACTTGGCATCTCCTGGCTTATAGACACATCATTCTCCATCATGGTTAAGAGCACTTAAGCCTAAGAGAAAATATGTGGAGCTGGAGCACACTCTATCATTTTCCTCCGCAGCTTATTTTTGAAGTTGCTTTCAAGGTCCCAACGACCTATAACTTGGCATCTCCTGGCTTATAGACACATCATTCTCCATCATGGTTAAGAGCACTTAAGCCTAAGAGAAAATATGTGGAGCTGGAGCACACTCTATCATTTTCCTCCGCAGCTTATTTTTGAAGTTGCTTTCAATGGTCCCAACGGAGGATATGTTGCCCTGGACGATATTTCTTTCTCTCCTGTTCACTGCCAAAACCAGACAGGTAAGCATTCTTTTCCTTTACATTTGGAATTTTCCTTCTCAGTAGATGCCTATGGTCAGGACTTGTCTTAATGTTTCTAATTTCGTTACCTTTTCTATGATCTCATCCTTAAAAAATTACTTAACTGAATAGTCACTTTATTGGTTATATTACTCTTTATTTCTTCTCACAGAGTGAATCTAATTTTTTTGACACCACAGGCCCTGGTCAGGTACTAAGGAGCTTTCATCTTCCTATCTATTAGGATATGAAAATTAAATAATACTCATTCTTTCCACATCTTTCTCTTTAATAGATACCTTGAGTTCATAGACAGGTGGATGGGTAGGTAGGAAATAACTCAAAATCTACTGAGTAGAATTATGGAAACTCTTTCCAATGTGATGTATTCAAGACCTATAAATGTCCTCATGTTTAAAGATATTAGTATATGATGGTTTTTTGTTAAATATTATGTACTCAATTTAAATTCTCTTTCTAAGTGAACCCTCAGGTTACTTTATGATGGCTAATTTTGTAATTTCTATAAACTTGGTGATTGAAAAAGAAGAAATTTTTACTTTTTGGAAAAATAGGTAAGCAAACCATTTCAATGTGCATTAGAAAACAGATGTTTTAGAATAAGAAGTCTAACACTGTATTAATGATAACCCAGGTAAATGCAATTGACCTTACACTTCAGTGACTTTGTTTCCTTGAGAGGTCCCAAGGAGATACTGTAGTCTTCCCATTTTATTTTTGAGCCCTTCTTTTGGGTTATGGACTATGGAAAGTAGATTTTTGAACTTGGCCTTTATAGTCTTGGCTTTCACTTAAGATAGAGTTCATATCTAACTTAAGATGGTTTCAGATATATTCGACAAGCAGGGGGACTTTCAAGAAAGATAATATTTTCTATTCAGGCTAAACTGTTACCCCAAAGTTAGAGAGAAACATACTAATTTGATGAAACCAAATATTATTTTTACTGATTCTAATTTTTAAATAAAAGCTAGTGAAATGGAAAGAACTAGACTGGATTTATGTAAGTTCATTAAAATTATTTAATCTAAACTGTAATCAAAGACTAAAAAAATCTCTTAATGTAGCAGAACACAGAAGGCAAAATTGTTTACTTCTCTAAATCTGATTGCTCCCTAATCCCATCTCCAGCTAACATCTCAATAGTAGTTTTACAACCTCATTATCATTATTTTTAGAAAATTTTTCTTGGTCACTAGGCATTTACATTGAACGTTTATATTTCCAAGTAACATGTGTGCAAAAGGAGGTGTTTATTCATTATCTGCACTGGCTAGAGGGTGGCATGAAGAGGCAGCTGGGAGGTCACAGAATCTACTGAGCCACTTTTGAACTAATGTTTGGAAATACTTTCCCTTTTAAAAAGATACAGAATATATGTGTGTTCTTTCCTACTGAGTGGTGACCGGAAGAGAGAGATCCCAACATTGTCTCAAATAAGGACCATGTATTAAAAGGGCTGCTGGCCCCTCAGTCTGTAAAACCCAGCCCACATAAAGACCCTTCCTCCACATTTTTATATACAGGGTATCCCAAATAAATGTATTCACACTTTGAAGAATTATTAACTCCAATGGGTTAAATCTGAAAATAAAGAAACATACATTTTGGAGGGACACCCCATAGCAGTGACGGCGAACCTATGACACGCGTGTCAGAGGTGACACGTGAACTCATTTTTTTTGGTTGACTTTTCTTTGTTAAATGGCATTTAAATATATAAAATAAATATCAAAAATATAAGTGTTTTACTATGGTTGCAAATATCAAAAAATTTCTATATGTGACACGGCACCAGAGTTAAGTTAGGGTTTTTCAAAATGCTGACACACCGAGCTCAAAAGGTTCGCCATCACTGGCTTATAGTTAGGTTAATCAAGACTCCAAATTGGCCTTGAGAACTTACCAACGTACCAACTTTGCTTTAAAATGGTTTAAACACGTGATCACAGTGGTGCGCTCGGGAGCCAGGACTTTGCATTCACATCCCTACGCTGCCACTTACATGCTGTGTGACCTTGGGCTTATTAATTAAGCCACTATTTCCACATTTATACGACCAGGATGGAAGAATCTGTTCCATAGTGTTGTCAGAAAGACTGATGAGTTAATGTCTATGAAGGCCTCAGCAGACTGGCACACAGAAACTGCTTGATCATGAAACTTAATATTATTTACTTAATTTTCAAAATAGTCCCATCCATTCCCTAGAGAACAGGGGCTCAGATTAAAACTAAAGAGAACCAGCAAAGGCCACTGCCCTGATGGATGTGGGAGCCGGAGCCTGCTTGTGCCTTTCATTATGCAGTTGTGAGCCAGATTCGGAGTCTTAGAAGCTGAGCCCTTTGGTTTTCATACTTCATCTTACATTTCTCAAATAGTTTATGCCCTTCTGTTTCATAACAGGTGCCAACATTTTTTGTCTTTATCTTGCTTAGCTCCAGACTTGCTGTCTGTGCTTTTCCCAGCTGGGTCTAGCATCCCCCCGCACCTCCCTAGTAGGCCGAGACAGGAATTAATTCAACACATGGAACGTCTCCTCTCCACCATCTGGTTGGGCTTAGATTTAGTCCAGTTTCCCTGACCTGAAACACATCGCAGAGTCACAGGGATTAAACACCAATGTCGTGTTGCTCCCCGAGTATTCCCAGGGTGCTCCAGAGGACCGTGAGACCACCCCACCCCTCCCGCCGTGAGTTCCAGCACTTGCCTTTCCCCCCCCAACAGACTCCCTCCCTTCCACCATTAGATCTAGAGCAGTGGTTCTCAACCTTCTGGCCCTTTAAATACAGTTCCTCATGTTGTGACCCAACCATAAAATTATTTTCGTTGCTACTTCATAACTGCAATGTTGCTACTGTTATGAATCGTAATGTAAATACCTGATATGCAGGATGGTCTTAGGCGACCCCTGTGAAAGGGTCGTTCGACCGCCAAAGGGGTCTCGACCCACAGGTTGAGAACTGCTGATCTAGATCATAGGAAGCTCTCCTTTTAGGTTGTAAATCTTGAATGCCTGACAGGTGATTCCATTCACTTCTAGGAATCCTGCCTTAATGCTCAACCTCAAACTGAAAGTTTCACCATTCTGCCCCGTGCAGGCCCAACTCCTTTCTGAGGTTGGGTCCACCCCATACCAAGGCCAGGGACTGGGAGGGGTCTAACTGGGCCTAACTCCCAATCTTGACCAATCTTGTTATTCACCAATAACAACACACTACCCAGATCTCTTGTTCAACTGACAACCTGGCTCCAGTTGTTGCCTTGGTTACAGCTGAAGTTGCCATAGCCATCCTTAGCTCAGAGGCCCTCAAGCGTCTCCCCAGCCTGGTCACTGGCCCAGCCTCTGCTCCATCATGATTCCTTGGTCTGGTTCCAGGTCCCACTCACTCTCTTCCCCAAGCCACTTGGAGCTGTCCCGGCCTCGCTGGCTCCTGCTAAATAAAATTACTGTGCTAATTCAGCAGCCTAGAGACCACATAGCACCCAGATCCCTCTAGCTGCACAGCGGCTGGCGAGTTTTTAAATCTCTAGGACAGATACTGTGTTCCTCACTGTGAACTCCAAGGAGCAGAGCAAAAGATGAGAAACACTGCCGCCGATTCTTCTCAAACTGCAGTAACCCTCCATCTGATTAGATTATCTTCAAAGCCTCTCATTTCTAAAAAGTTCAAATGTCAAAAGGCAAGGGACTAACTAAATCTTACATTTTAATGCTTATTGGTACCTTGCTAGGGACTTTGTGCGGGGGGGGGCTTCCAACTGCCTGATCCTTCCTATGCTTCAAATATGTCATTAACACTCCCCTGCAGCTCAATTGTGACCAATCTTGTTATTCACCAATAACAACACCTGACCAGGTGCTTCTGAAACAAGCTGGAAGCAAAGGCGTTTCCCCACCGCAGAGCTCTGAAGAGCTCATGTTGGGCCACAAACAGGCCCTCTGGCCCCAATTTCAGGAATTAGAGACTATCTCATGGTTGAAAAAGCATTCTGGTGGGAAAGATTTAGGCTCTGAATTATGCTTTTGAGATTTTTGTTTTATGAAAACTCAGGATCGTGGACAAATCCATTTCTAGGACTAAATTATGTAGCAAAAGAATATAATCTCATCCTCAGAAAAATCTTTTCTGTATGACTCAGTTGGTGACCATGAAGAGAGGTGATCTTTGCTTACTTTCAAGTTTTAATACCACCTCCCACCCTCTCCTAATTACCTAATAAATGGGTTCTGATTCTCTTGTGGCCTCCCAGGGGCATGTTCTGTGCCATATGTTCCTGATGAGTAATTTCACTGACCTGCCGTTCTCATTGAGCATGGCTTTGCGGAATGCCATGCCATTTTCTGTAGCTTTTAAATTTTCATTTGTTTTTGGTTTTGGTGGTGGTGTTTTTTTTTCATTACTAAGTGGCAGAGGGATGACTAAGACTGGAGACCATCATGGGGTCTCCCATGAGACCAAATCTCCATGGGGGATGCCAAAGAGTCCTTGTTTGTATGACATCGTTTTCATTTTTGAAAGACTGTCTTCATGGCCTAAAGATACTGCCTGATGCTGACAGGCAGGCCGAGCAGTGTGGGGCTAACCTACGGGTCCTAGAGCTGAGGCCGCCCTGGCTTGTCGGGTGTTCTTTCTCTGCCCTTGTGGGGTGTGTCATCTGAGACACAGTCAGGTTCCAGATGTACAGGAACATTCCTATTCTTTTCTTTGTAATGTTGGTCACGGTGTTTTTTCTTAACTTAGTGTTTTTAGAACTGGGTGTTTTTGTATCATTTCAAACTCAGACAAAATTTGCAAGAATACTATCAAGAACTCCTGTATACTCTTCACCCAGATCTACAGATTGTTAACATCATCTGCTTTATCAACCACTTAAGAGTAGGTTGTGGACATTATACCCCTTTACCCCTAAATACTTCGATGTATGTTTTCTAAAACCAAACATGTTCTCCAACATGATTAACTTCAGGAAACTGAATGCTGATAGAATATTATCAACTAAACTATAGCCCATATACTAATTTACCAATGGCCCCAATAATGCCAATTTATAACTGTTGGTTTCCTGGACCAAGTTGTCCTGCCTCTTTTGTCCCCTTAATCTGGGCCAGTTCCTCAGCCCACTTGAATGTTTTCTTGCTTTGACAATTGATAAATTGAGAGTGTAGTAGTCTTTGTCCCTAAATAGCTCCCTGTTTCATTAGATCACTGCTCCAAGAACTCCAATGTTCCTCTAAGGATGGTTTTCCAGGTATTCAAAACAGTGCCCCCTCTCTCTTGCCCTAAAAGATTGGACCAGTACCGCAATGTCAGCATGCAGCACAGGATCCCACTCAGCTACATTGAATGTGTCTCAAAGTCTGGTTCCCAGTGAGGTCTGTAATAATTTGTTGCTAGGACTAAGTTATTCTTAAAAGAACAGAAATAATTTATATGCCATTCCCTCCAGCAATCTGGAATGAGAGGGCATTTATAAACCAAGGTAAATGATACTGGAACTCAGCATAAACCAGAAAAATAGCAGTATCGGTGACAGAATTGATATATCTTTTTGCATCGTGTGATTTATACTAAGTAATGATTTTCTCCCAGCAGATCAGCTCCTACTAAGAATGTCAATTATAAATAGACGGTGGCTGTGCTTCTGCCACAGAGATTGATCAACAAAAGAAAATTCTTTCTGGAAAATATTATTTCTAAAATATCTATCTTAAAGATAAGTTAAGGATTTCCTAAAATCCCTATCTTTTCTCTTTCCTTTTAATTTTGTATGAATGAATTTTGAATTGCAAAGAAGTGTATGAATAAATGTGCACACTCTACAGCATGAAAAGAAATTTCTCTTGAAGTCTGGCACTGCTTTATTGTTGTATAGAATGTGAAAGGAGCTTCTTCCATCCCTTTAGGGAGGAAAAGAACAGTTTTCCTGCCATGCTGACAAGTTGATTTGATGCTAACCTGTCACCGTGCCATTAGGTTGAAAATATTTTGATGTGTTTTACTTCTCCTGGTACAAATGTGTATGTATTTGTCAATCAGTTGGTGAAGTCCTTTGAAAGCCTTGGGTTAAGCACACTTTAACTTTGGTTCTGCTTTGCTTAGAGCTTCCTTTCAGTGCCATAGAAGCCAGCTGCAATTTTGAGGAGGATCTCTGCAACTTTTACCAAGATAAAGAAGGTCCGGGCTGGGCCCGAGTGAAAGTAAAACCAAACATGTATCGGGCCGGGGACCACACTTCAGGCTTAGGTAAACCAGGAATCATTCCTGTGGGGACTTCGGGGGAGGGGGATGGAGCAGATGGGCAAGGTGGGGGTACTGTTCATGCTCCATTCTCCATTCTTATCCCACATTTACCAAGACTTCAAAAAGAAGAAGAAGGCAGCTGTAAAGAGGCAAAGACAATTGCTGATCTTGCATTTGACCATTTTTTAAAACTGGAATTCAAGTTGCTGGGCTAGCAATAATATTTGCCGATTAATTAATAGCCAACCCTTTGCAAATTATCTTGCTCTTCGCTTTAAATGGAGAAGTACCTTTAGAAAGCTACCAGAGTCCAATTATCTGAAATGTTCAGAATAGGCAAATTTATAGACAAAATGATTAGTGGTTGCCCCGGGCTGAGAGGAGGAAATGGAGAGTTGCTGTGTCATGGGTGTAGAATTTCCTTTGGGGGTGATGAAAATGTTCTGGGACTGAATAACGATGGTGGTTGCCCAGCATAGGGAATGAACTAGATGCCACTGAATTGTACACTTGAAAATAATCGAAAGGGTAAATTTTATGCCATGGATATTTCACTGTGAGGAAAGATATATATTGTGGGGGAATAAAAGCTGTTGGAAATGTTGGTGGGCACTTGATGGATTCTCTACAAGGGACTCTTAGAAACCAGTGTGAGCTCCCTGTATCTGGATCACATATCGCTTTAATGGCTCCCTTGTGAAGCTCATGCTAGTAGACACTGGTAGAAAGGGCTGGTTCTCAAAGAGTTAGTGTCTCAGTTATTTATTCGACAATTACTGACACACTGGACACGGGGGAGAATTGCCTTGAAGGGGGACTTTGCAAAATTATACTTGTAATTTTGTACTTTTTTTCTCAGAGGTTGCTTAACTTGTATAAGCACAGGCCCTACAAAAACCTATTCTGACCTTGGCCAGACTAACTCCTGGGGAATACAATAGTGAGCAAGTCAGGTATGAAGCTTGTTCTGTGTGGCTGACAGTCATTTCAATGGACAGGAGAGACATTAGACAAATATAGACACAGATAAACCCATAATTATGACCTATGGGAAGTGCAATAAAAGAAATGAAGAGTGAGCTTTCAGAGAGAATAGAGGGGGAAAAACTATTATTGGTTGGGGATTCAGGGAGTCCCCTTCTGAGGGGAGTGGGAATTAGCCAGGATAATGGGGGTCATCCAGGCAGAAGGGAGGGCATCTGTGGGGACCTCGAGCTTGGAAAGAGTTGGACTCTCCAAGATACTGGAGGTTAGTGAGGCAGCACCATAGAGAGGAGAAGGAAGTTAGAGAGGGAGACAGATCATGGCTGTAGCAGGCCAGAGTAAGCATTTGGGATTTTATTATAAAGGAAATGGGAAGCCATTGAAAGGTGTTAAGTAGAGAAGAGAGTGATTAAATGTAGGTTTCACAAAGATGGCTGGCTATTGTGTGGTCCCCTGGATTAGTCTGCTTGGGCGGCCATTACAAAACACCATAGACTGGGTGACTTAAACAACATAAATTATTTCCTCAGAGTTCTGGAGGCTGGGAGTCCAAGATCAAGGTGTTGTCAGGATTGGTTTCTTGCAGGCCCTCCCTTCCTGGCATCTTCTCAGTGTGTCCTCGCGGAGAGAGATCTCAGGTGTCTCTTCCTCTTCTTATGACGTCAGTCCCATAGGGTTAAGGCCCCCACCCTATAGCCTCATTTAACCTTAATTACCTCCTGAAAGGCCCTGTCTCCAAACACAGTCACATTGGGAGTTAGGGCTTTGACATATGCACATACAGTTCAGTTCATAATCTCACTCCTGTGAAATAGAACTTTTTCCCAAGTGAGTTAAATAACTGGGTAAAACTAACTATATAGCAAAGACTGAGGCGCCCCCCCAAAAATGTAAAGGGAGAGGAGCAGAGAAGGAAAAGAAAACATGTGGAGTACAGCAGGTCCTCAAATGACTCATTTTATTCAATGCGTATTGTTTAATGTTGATGGGCTGCTGTAGGAACCTAACTCTTGTTGCATCAATTAGCCTTTGGTAAAATTGGCTTCATTTTATGTCTTTTCAATTAAGTCGCAGAATCTATCAACAACTTTAGGTGAGGACTTTATTATTTCTTACTATGGAGGTGGAGAAGCGGGTGGGAGGGAAGTCGTTTATTTCATTTTTCTCTATTTTATTTAGAAGGAATAAGGGAAAGATATAGATCTTCAGCATCTGGGAAGGTCCATCTGATTCAAACCCTGCTCGTCAGGGGCAGGTTTAACATATGACCGAGAGAGGACTAGGCTCTGCCCAAACACACTAACCCTCCCTCACCCGGGACTGCCAGGCCAGCCTGCAACCTCTCCATCTCCAATGGTCACCGCAGAGAGAACGGAAAAATCTGCCCTGGGCTTTATGCTCACTGTGACAGCACTGGTGCTCAGTCTAAGGCAGCTGGTTGACCCCTGGTCAATAGTTATAACTCCTAATTGATGACCAGAATCTGGGCATATGCAGTTGGAAATCTATACTTGCTTATGAAGTTTACTTAGAATTGGAGAAGGTTTATTGGCAATATAGTATAAGACTATTCTATCATCAAGCCAGATATTAGAAAATGCTTTACCCTGTAAAGCCTGTGGAAATAGTCTCTTGACCAATTCCACGACTTTAACCAAATTTTCCCACTTGGTAATCCGAGCTACATTATTTAAACTGGTCCTGATGGATACACTGACGCTTTGTCCCGTTCACAGGGTATTACTTGCTGGCCAACACGAAGTTTACGTCTCAGCCTGGCTACATTGGAAGGCTCTACGGTCCCTCCCTGCAGGGAAACTTGCAGTATTGTCTACGTTTTTATTACGCCATCTATGGCTTCTTAAAAATGAGTGACACTCTAGCTGTTTATCTCTTTGAAGAGAACCACGTGGTTCAAGAGAAGATCTGGTCTGTGCTGGAGTCCCCAAGGGGCGTTTGGATGCAAGCGGAGATCGCCTTTAAGAAGCCCATGCCTGCCAAGGTACAGGAACCTGCACAACCCGTTGTTTGCTAGCAGTTGCTGGACTGCATAAGTGAATTTCTGTTTAATTATTTTCAACTGGGGATGTGTTATTTTCCTTCTGTTCCAGCTGACAGCCCACACCCACACACTGTCCCCAGCCAGAGCCAATTATATCCTTCACTTCTTTCCAGTTGTCTGTGTCTCAGAATCATGGCCACCTAGGGAGTTTGCTTGTCATTTATTTCGCAGGTTCTCTGAGAATAGTCGAAAGACAGGGAATATGTTAACAGTCCAAGTTTAGCAGCTAAACTTTAGTTTGAAGCCACAACACACACACACACACACACTTGCACCAGATTCACACAATCAGGGATGCACCAGAAATGAATGGAATTTTGTTGTAGTCCACACTCTGTTTTGCTATTGTTTTCAAAAGGGGTTATAGTAAGCATTTCATTCTTTCATTCATTTGACTTTCATTTATTCATTCATTCATCCATTTGTTCATTTATTTCTTGATTCAACCAGCACTTATTAGGTATATGCTCAGTACAGGGTATATAAAGATGAATGAGGTTCAGAGTCACCCTTAGGGAGGTCACAGATGACAGAAAAGAGATACAGATACGTAAGGAACTAACAGCATACTATCTCACTATCTCACAGAAAGGCAGTATAGAAAAACAGGAGTGATTCTACCAATTGGACATATGAAAAATAGTGACAAATTGAGGCCCCGCTGCGCTGGTATTTGGAGGGCTAAGGTTCAGACCACGCTGGATTCTAATTCTTGCCCCCACGCACCCGACTGCACCCTTTCCCCCCATCTCCTCTACTCACATGGCTTGTTTAGGAACCTGCCCACCTCTTCAGAGCAAGTCCCTGCTCTTACCTGACTCCCATGGAATAGGAGCAAGCCCTCCAGCAAATAAGGGTGCCTCGGAGAATCTTCCCTTGTCTTCTTGGGCTGACCTCCATCCCTCCCAGCAACAAATCCTCCCCAGTCACTTAAGGAAAAAAGGATGGAGACCCAGTGGGGGCAGGGAAGTTCTCACAGCCTCGGGAGGAACTCCCCATGCCTATGAGGAGATGGCACACTACAAACTCGGGACACGTGTCTGAAGGTGGCCCCCAGTTTCCACAGGTCCCTGCTAAAGAGAGCCAGCTCCTCGGAGAGGGAGAGGCCATTTGACATCCATCATAGAGGCCGGCCTTAAGAAGGGCAGGAAACCAAAGCTCACTGATGTTGACATATACAGATGGAAATAACATACAAACAGTATTTCAGAGAAGGGATAAAATAAAGAGTCAGACTTTCCCTGGCCGTTTCCTACCCTGGAACTCAAACTTTGATTCCACTTCTTTTCCTGATGGGTTTCTCCCTGGTTTTCTGTTGGTTTCCTCTATAATTCTAAATATTGTATTTCTGCCTCCACGTCTTGATTCATTAACCTCAAGTGTTTGCTGGCTCCCTGCTATGAGAGATAAAGAGTTTAGCTTATTTATATCATTTCTTCTCCCCTTTCTCTCTCCTCCTCTTTTACTTTTCTCTCAACTTCCTTAATAGCTTTAATCCACTTAACCATCTATTTTTGGACCCATACATTTAGATAGTGTCTCTTAACACACACTATGTAAGATGAATAAATTTTCGCCCTGACATTTCCCTTTGCCTCTTTGGCCCTCTCCATTTCTCAGTCTCTCAGCTATACAATTGCTTTTGCATTATCATGGCTTATAACATTCATATTCCAGCAGGGATGCCTCTGGCTTTCTCGATAGCTGGATTTCCCAGTGGGGGCCCCCTTGGCATTTGGAAGATGGCCTTTGTGTTTGGGGCAGGAAGGGGCATCCCTCACATTACTGGATTTTTAACATCTGCAATTAGTGCAGCAACCCAAATTATTTCCACACATTCCCACATGGCCCAGAGGTGCCATACCACCCTGGATGGGAACCATTAGTCTGTAAATTGATTCTGAAAGATGAAATTAAAAAGCCCAGCCCTCCTGCAGTCCAATCTGGGTTCCCGGGCAGCAGAGTTCTCATGAGGAAGCCCTCGCCTGTACGAAGCCTGAGACTTCCTATTGCGCTTAGGGAACAGGCTCTGACATCAGTCCCCTTCCCAGCTCTCCTCTTGCTCTCGCCATTCAAACTGCATTGCACAATGAATTCCCGCTGCATACTCTGCTCTCTCTCACCTTGAGGCTTTGCAAACCATTTCCTCTGCCTAGATGCCTCTTAATTCAATCACAGCTTAAATCTCACCTCCACAGAGAATCCTCCTCTGGCCCCAGAGATGGTTTAGAGTTCTGTGGCACCCCAGACCTCCCATTTATCGTCTAGGGGACAGTGTAACGCAGTGTCTAGGAGCATAGACACAGGAGCCTCTAGCTTCAAATCCCCATTCCACCACTTACTGGTTTTTCAATCTTTGTCAGTTTTTTAAAAATTAAGGTGTAATTGACCTTAACATAGTAATATAACAAGATAATATTAATATAATATTATATATTATATATAATATAATAATGTAATTATAACATATTATTTATATCACTTATAATCTATACTAATAAAAGGGTAATATGCTAATTAGACCGGGTTGACCAGACATCTTCTGGTCATCCAGTCCTCCTTCCTGACAAAGCCACAGTGGCGGTGGTGGGGGGCCAAGGCAGAGGTAGTTAGGGGTGATCAGGCCAGCAGGGAGGGCAATTAGAGGCCATCACTCAGGTAGGGGAGGGCAGTCAGGGGTGATCAGGCCAGCAGGGAGGGCAGTTAGAGGCCATCACTCAGGCAGGCAGAGGGATTAGGGGCAATCAAGCAGGCAGACAGGTGAGTGGTTAGGAGCCAGCAGTCCCGAATTGCAAGAGGGATGTCCAACTGCAGGTTTAGGCTCGTTCCCTGCAGGATTGGGCCTATACCAACAGTCAGACATCCTCCAAGGGGTCCTGGATTGGAGAGGGTGCAGGCTGGGCTGAGGGACCCCCACCCTCACCCCTGTGCATAAATTTCATGCACTGGGCCTCTAGTACAATGATAATAATGTAATATAATTAACATTTTATTAGTTTCAGTTATATAACGTAATGATTCAATATTTGTATATATTATGAAATCACCACATAAAGTTTAGTTAACATCTGTCACCTTACATAGTAACAAAAATTATTTTCTTATGATAAGAACTCTTAATGTCTACTCTCTTAGCAACTTTCAAATATGCAATACAGTATTATTGACTATAGTCACTATGCTGTACATTACATCCCTAGGACTTATTTATTTTATAATTGGAAGTTTGTACCTTTTGATCCTCTTCATCCACCCTCACCCCACATCCCTACCTCTGGCAACCACCAAACCATTCTCTTGGATTTTTGTTCTGTTTTGTTTTGCTTTTTTGTATTTCATATAAATGAGATCATCCAGTATTTCTCTTTCTCTGTCTGACATATTTTACTTGTCATAATGCCCTTAGCACAGTTGTAAGATTTAATTCTTTTTTTTTTATAGCTGAATAATATTCTCTTAGTTTTTTAAATCTTTTTCTTCCTTACTTTTCTTGTTGGAACCCAAAACCTAAAAGATACTTGCCACTCAGTCGATGCTCAATAACTGTCTGTGGGATGACTGTTGGGCTCTGACTTTTGAGCAGTGGTTGTTGAACCTCATTCTAATCCAGCGGTTCTCAACCTGTGGGTCGCGACCCCTTTGGCGGTCAAACAACCCTTTCACAGGGGTCGTCTAAGACCATTCTGCATATCTGATATTTACATTACGATTCATAACAGTAGCAACATTACAGTTATGAAGTAGCAACAAAAATAATTTTATGGTTGGGTCACAACATGAGGAACTGTATTTAAAGGGCCACAAGTTAAGAACCACTGTTCTAATCATTTTGGAGGGCTTTAAAATGTTGATGCTAAAGGTGTTCATTGTCCATTTCTCTTCTCCCATAAAAATATAACCTTGTTAGTCTTACTCATTTCTGTATCTACAGCACCGTGCCTGGTGCAAAGTAGATCCTCAGTAACATTTTGTTTAGTAAATTTGGTTTGGTACTTATGTACTGAATGAATAAATAGAAGAATAATGAAAAAGGAACAAATAAAATAACAAATGAGTAAATGCCTGGTAAGTGGCAGAGCTAGGATTTGAACCATGGCCTATCCAACTCTGAAGCTTGCCCTGTGGAACGGGTTTTCTTTGGTGCTCAAAGTTTTTATCCTTGGAGGAGGCTTGTTCTTGTGCAGCTGGAGAAAGTAAGGCTCCCCACTTGCCTTGGGGTACAGACACCTTCTGTTATTTTATTTAAT